CCAGAACATGCTCTCATAGAAATCTGGGCAAGATATTGGCTTTAAAAGCTACAAAGTGTGACAAAATGATATAACTGTATGTGACATTTCAGTTCCACAATAATGCACCACTCAGCTGACTGCTTCTGTTTCTGAGTGTTGGCATGTATTCATGTAAACTGAAAGAGACCCTCTGTCATGACACTCACTAGTTGGCTGATTCCTTTGGCTTAGTTTTCTTCAGCATTATTAGCAAATTTGTTTCTTTTAAAAACATTCGGCTTCTCATTTTACTTAATATGGTTAATCTTATCGCATGTTTTCAGTGGACTAAAATACGTGTTTTTAAGTAGCCATTGATAAGTTTGGTTCTAATCTGTCTAAAATCACTCGCGACTACTTGGCAAGGTACAGGAGTCAATCCTGGCAATCACTGATCTGTACCACATTGACATGGCCATTCTCATGCTCATTTCCCCTTACAGTCACCTTCCACATGGCAGAAGGGTAGGGCCATGCAAGCAGAGCCCATCCATTGTTCTAGCATCATAGACTCATAACATTCCTTTCAGAACTCCAAACAGATTTTGAATGAGCAAAATAGCCTAGACAATATCTATTTCCAGAGTAAGCAAACATAGGAGCTTATCAGGTGCCTGCACCTACCTGTGGTCTTACCCACCTCCATGCACTGTCTTCTGTAGCATACTGCCCACTTTAGGACCTTATCTTGCACGGAGGTACTGGGGGTCCTGGACTTGGGTCTAAACTGTATGCCACCTGCCTGCTTGTAAAGTAGCCTAGGAGAGCTGGCAGAGTCTCCAATCTTCCCTCATCTTGTCTATAATGCAAATAATAATATAAACTGGGGCACTGTGAATACTAAGTCAGCTCAGTACATCCTGGAACCCACTGACTACGAGTTGATGTCATTACTGTTATCCCTTATTATCAGCATTATTGTCTTTGTCACTTCCCTACACACTGATCACATGAGGTGTGATGTCATTTCCCAGAAGACTATAAACCATTTTCAGATGAATATAGAATTTCTTAAAGCTGCTTGAATTAGTTCATGTTAGCATAATACAGTAACTTTGTTGTATCACACTGAAAGGCTGACTTGGAGAATCTCAAATTACACAATTAAAAAGCAAGCGTATATTTTGTCAAAAATCAAACAAGTGATGATTAGTTTTAACTGTCAACTAGACACAATCTAAGGAGGAGATTGTCTAAACTAGATTTGCCTGTGGCATGTTTTCAGGAGAACATTTCGATGACATTGAGGTGGGAAGACCTGCCCACTGTGGGTGGTACCATTCCCTAGGCAGGGGATCCTGAACTGTCTAAGAGTGGCAGAGCACGCTGGGCATTAGCATGTATTAATCCACAGCCGTCTGCTCTAGATGGTGGATGTGGTTTAACCAACTGCTTCAAGTTCCTATCACTTTGATTTCCCTGTCATGATGGGCTATAGCCTGAAACTATGAGCCGAACAAACCTTTTCTCCCTTAAACTGCTTTTTATTGGGGTATTTTATCACAGGAACAGGAAATAAAACTAAGGCAACAAGATCACACAATGACAACATCAATCAATGGTAGTGAGAGAAAGATGCTCCCTCATGGTCAGTCGCCATATTTCTAAATGAACAGGATTGGATAAAACTAGTGCACTTGTTATACCTCAGTGAGAGCTGCTCTAGTTATTGAGAGCATTACACAGGTGCCATCCAAAGCTGTCCTCTTGCATCTTGTCACACTGAGCACTCAGGTACACCCTCAATGGCAGTTTCCCATTGGCAACATTGTGGTGGTGGGATTGGAACTGGTAGGGTTTACGCTTCACAGCCCTACTGAACACACTGTGCCTCTGTGGGTTGTAGGACTCAGGCACTTTCTAAAATGATTTTTCATGTGATAAGTAATGAGCACATCTGTTTTTTAATATCATAGAAGTTTCATCTTGGAGCTGCTCTGTTGTTGTTACTAGAATTCTCTCTCCTCTTTGTCCCCTCCCCCAGGATGTAATATAACAAAACCTGCCTGGTGTGTTAGGTAACTCTGGATTTCATCAGATGGGAAAGACTCCTTGATGGGAAAGACCATTTACATAGAGACAAAATGGTATGACTCCACAAAATGGCTCCATATGAGCAGAATATGGTTTTATATGCTAAAATGGACTTTTTCCCACTTTCTGGGCAAACTAGTTGTACTAACTTCCTCCTTCTGGAAGTCAGGGTATTTCCTTGACCTTTAGGATTCTGTGGGGGTGTCTCCATACATCCAGGAAAGAACACAGGCATGCTGGGATTTTCATGGTAATCTCTTTTGTGCTCATCACAGGAGGAATGAGCCCAAGTTAGGTGACTCTGCTAAACCTGTTAACTCCAATTGCTGTTAAGAAAAAGCAAACGCACCTAATTCTCATCCTTTGCTGCTTTTATTTCCCCCAAGGTAGCATATTAAAATGCGCATATCTGAACTTTAACTCTTCCTTCTAACTTAACCACAAGGTTCTAAAATGTTGGTATTCTCACAGATATTCTTCAAAATTTGATTAAGGTTCAGGTCTTCATAACACATAGATTAGATGAGAGATTTAGAAAACATCTTAAAAGAATTTCTAAAAACTGTGCTCTTATTTGTGAAAACCTACCATCTAATTTTGTTTTTGTTGAAAAACATGATTTCTGGTATATTCTAATTCTTGGTATTTAAAAATATAGTATTATCTCAATTTGAAACAATACAATATATTAATATGTATTCAATTTTTTGTGATCATTGAAGTTTATAAATAAATTCTTTAATAG